CACCCGTTGGTATGTTCCATTTTAGTCTTGAAGAAGGAAAACCGTTTGTATGTTTTTACGCTCAGGAGGGAAAGAAATTCGTGTGGATGTTACTTCAGTTTGTGTTTAGTAAACAGCAGACGTTTATTTATTGATAACAACATTGTATCGTAACATTTCCAGACCAGTTTCCGGAATATTAGACCAGGCCTGGTTCCGTTGTCTTTATTATAAGTATGTTCATCTTTCCATATGCACACTTCCATTTACCGTTGGAACAGCTTCCATCTACTCTAATTAATACAGAAACACATGCTGTTTGTGTTGTTTTCTATAAAAGGAGTTTAGCCTGCTCATTGGCCTTGATTAAGTCTACACACGTATTTCACATTAAGAACACTAATATCTACGAATAATCTCCACAATATCGATACAAACGGGCAATTTCTGGCTAATACGTCGTGTCCAACCATCAAGGTGATCTAGACAGTAGCGAGCACGAGACAACAGTATCTAAATATAGATCACTTAAGATGTTTATGACGCAATCACATCGCCAGACAAATGGCGGACAGGCTCTACAGAGTGTATACCAGTCCATTATAGAAACCATATGGCTTTGTAAAATGTCACCGAAACGCAAATGATGTGTATGATATCCAGACAGAGAAAATTGTCGTATCAATAATATACATTATACCGTGTATCCTGTCTCATATCGATACAAAACAATTTGGTTCACCTTTAATTGGTTTCAAATTACAGATCTAGAAATAATTGTCTAGAGATGTTTTTTCGATCCACAAACCCTAGTTAAAGATCCGCTTCCGACGTAACGTTGACTATTATAAGCAATGTTGATTAATTTTACTAGTGGTTAACCTAGCGTATGAATTGTTAGCCTATTGTTCACATTGTTAAACTTTTGTACACATCATTGACCTATTTCTAACGTTTTTGACCTATTATATACATTGTTGACCTATTATATACAATGTTGACCTATTGCGTACATTGTTGATCTATTTTTAACATTGATCTATTGTATACATTGTTGACATATTGTATACATTGTTGACATATTGTATACATTGTTGATCTATTGTATACATTGTTGACCTATTATATACAATGTTGACTTATTGCGTACATTGTTGATCTATTGTATACATTGTTGATATATTGTATACATTGTTGACCTATTGTTTACATTGATCTATTGTATACATTGTTGACATATTGTATACATTGTTGATCTATTGTATACATTGTTGACATATTGTATACATTGTTGATCTATTGTATACATTGTTGATTTATTGTATACATTGTTGACATATTGTATACATTGTTGATCTATTGTATACATTGTTGACATATTGTATACATTGATCTATTGTATACATTGTTGACATATTGTATACATTGTTGATCTATTGTATACATTGTTGATTTATTGTATACATTGTTGACATATTGTATACATTGATTTATTGTATACATTGTTGATTTATTGTATACATTGTTGACATATTGTATACATTGTTGACATATTGTATACATTGATCTATTGTATACATTGTTGACATATTGTATACATTGTTGACATATTGTATACATTGTTGACATATTGTCGCCTTTTGATATAGTATTACTGAGTTTACTTTTCCTTAATTCTGCCATTGACTGTTTATTTTATTTGGTGTGTGTACGATTCCTGCTTCCAAGAACGCTTCCCCGAGGAACACCACTAATGACAGGGTATGATTTGATGATTGGCCGTTTACAATAACACGCTGACGACTGTTGCTTAGAAAGTCCTCTATCCATTTTACTACTTTCCATATGGCTTACAATTCTATTCGGTACTATTTTTTCTAGATATTTTACAATACTTGTTTCACAGACTGGTCTACAGTTGTTGGGTCTGACTTTGCTCCCTTTTTGTATACGACAGTTACGTTGGCATCTTTCCATTCCTGTGGTAGTTTTCCTTCTTCAAGTGAGTGGTTAGATATATCTGCTAATGGTGAACCGATAGTTTGCCTTAATTCTTTCAACGATTTTGGATGGATTTTATCTGGTCCTTGCGACTGATTTTCGTTTAGATTTGTCAAAAGTTTTTCTATCACTTGGGTATTGCAAATAATATCCTCGAAAGGGCATTTAACAATTCTTTTTTTAAAATCTGGTATTTCTCCTTGTGGTTCCTGTGTATAAACACTGCTAAAGAATTCCGCCCAGACTTAGGCTTTATCCCTATCCTGAATTGCCATTTGCCTATCACCTCCGTTTCATCCTTTTAGGTCTGATAAGTTGATATATTTCCAAAAACGTTTTGGGTGCGCTTTGATATCCCCTACTATTTTTTTTTTTTAATTTTTCCATTTCCTTCCTGGCTTTCCGTACTTCCCGTTTCTTTCCTGGATTTCCTTTCTTCCCATTTCCTTCCTGGCTTTCCGTACTTCCCATTTCCTTCCTTGCTTTAAGTACTTCCCATTTCCTTCCTGGCTTTCTGTACTTCCCATTTCCTTCCTGGCTTTCCGTACTTCCCATTTCCTTCCTGGCTTTCCGTACTTCCCATTTCCCTACTGGCTTTCCGTACTTCCCATTTCCATCCTGGCTTTCCGTACTTCCCATTTCCTTCCTGGCTTTCCGTACTTCCCATTTCCTTCCTGGCTTTCCGTACTTCCCATTTTCATCCTGGCTTTCCGTACTTCCCATTTCCTTCCTGGCTTTCTGTACTTCCCATTTCCTTCCTTGCTTTAAGTACTTCCCATTTCCTTCCTGGATTTCTGTACTTCCCATTTCCTTCCTGGCTTTCCGTACTTCCCGTTTCCTTACTGGCTTTCCGTACTTCCCGTTTCCTTCCTGGATTTCCTTTCTTCCCATTTCCTTCCTTGCTTTCCGTACTTCCCGTTTCCTTCCTGGCTTTCCGTACTTCCCATTTCCATCCTGGCTTTCCGTACTTCCCATTTCCTTCCTGGCTTTCCGTACTTCCCATTTCCTTCCTGGCTTTCCGTACTTCCCATTTCAGTTGGCTTCTCAGTTTGGCATATTCTTTGTAAAGAGCTTGTACTTCCGGTTACACTACCATTTAGAAATGCACTCCAATCTCTTGGGATATTCGCTTTCATCTCCTCATTGTTCCTATGTGTATTTCAGGTGTTGGTCTTTATTGACAGTTGGGACTTTCTCACATTGGAATTTAAAATTTAAGACTTGGTGATCACTGCTACAAATCGGGTCATTGTATTGAATTTCTTTAATTATCTCTTCTTCGTTGGAATTTATTAAGTCTAAGACATGTGGTTCATTTCCTTTCCTGTATCTTGTGAAGTTATTTACATGCTGATAAAGGTAATTGTTCCGCAGACACTCGATGAATCCTTCGCTGTCCTTATCATTTCCTGTAGACCATGAACCCCAATCTATTTTCGGTAGATTAAAATCTTTCACTATTAACAGATGACTATTTGTATTATCAGTTAATACTGTATTTAGTAATTTCTGTACCTCCTCTGTGTTTTCCTCCGTTGCCTATTGGCTCCTATAGATGGATCCAATTAACAAGCTGTTGTTTCCTGATAACTTTATCTTAATCTAGATACCTTCTTTTAAATTTGTGTCTATGTTTACTTCTAGTTCCTTATACTTCGTCTTGCTGAACAAGCAAACACCCCTTTGCCATTTTTCATACTCGTTTGTGAAAAGCTCATATCCTTCTAATGATAATTCAGCCTTATTTGGCGTGTATGTGCAGTTTTTAGGGTATATTTCAGTGATAGGGATTATGTCACTATTTATTTCATGTTTTATTCTTAGTTTAAGCTCATCTACTTTATTCAGAAGATTATCTATATCTGTATAAACAGTTAAAGTGGTAGAATGTCTGTATGGTCCAAATTTCTGCTAATCCTCGTGTTTTTTATCTTTCATATTTTTCTGTTCCATGGTGGGCCCCGTACGCGATAGACATATTTCTAAGATGTTTGTATAGTTTCCTTTTTGGCCTCTTCTCGGAGTTCCAGCTCCTTCACCCTTTCTTACTTTGTTAGGTCATTACTTATCGATAATGACTGGTATTTTTCGGAATTTTGGAGATTTTGAATATTCTTTTAAAAGTTTCTGTCCTCCACCGAATAAAAGACGACTATGATTAGTCTTCCTCTTCTCGTTGTTCTCATATCCTTGTCAAATTTTCCTACCCTTAAACCATTTCTTATGCCATCTTATGTCTGCGTTGGTACTTTACATACAGAGAGAATATCTCTAACTACTTGTTCATCTACTTCCCTACGTTCGTGACTGCTCTCGTTGGATTGTTTAAGACCCCAAATATCATTATGTTGTACTCTTTCCTTTTCCTGTCTTCCAGCTCCGATATAACTCCTTGAGTGGTTGGTTCTTTCTGAGAACTCTGTTGTGATGATTCTAGGCCTGGACTCTTTCTCTATGGCATTCCTGCCAGCTCATTTTTCACGATGTCTTGGACTTTTTTTCCCTCGCATTTTTTGCAAGGATTTCCTTTATTGAATTTAATCTTTCTTCATACTTCTCCATAGCTTCTGCGCATTTTTACTCTGTCTCAAAATCTGTATATGTTCTTCGGTACGGAGACCTGACAAGGAGTACAGAACCATAGGGAAGTTGTTTTGGTCATGACTCTATATTCCTGGTCTACCATGTCAAGGCACTTCGTACAGAAATATTCCCGACATCTGTCGCATTCCATAATTTTATCATTTTCATCATGGTGATTCTTCTGACGTAGTTACAAGTCCATAAATCACCCAATTATGTTTTGAAGACACTATCGCTATCCTTTCGTCCCCTGGAGGATCTCGCTCGAGTGTTTCTTCCGTATACCATGTCCCTGATACAAGTCTGTTTACTAACCAGTATGCTTATTTCGACGATGTCCACCGATTCCTTGATCGGACTCGTGAAAAAAAATCACAAGGATGCGGAAAAGTCGCTTATGTTGAAACCACTATATTAGAATTCCTGAAAATTTGAAGTTAACTGGTATTATCTTCAAAAGACAGGTCTCGTTCAACGGAACTAGAAATGAAACGGCCGTCGCCATCAATACCGGAAGTGACATTCCTTCTTTGTTTCCTGTTTCGTGTCTGTACAATTCCTTCCTTGTTTATTTTATTTGGTGTCTGTACAATTCTCGCTTTGTTTATTTTATTTGGTGTCTGTACAATTCCTTCTTTGTTTATTTTATTTGGTGTCTGTACAATTCCTTCGTTGTTTATTTTATTTGGTGTCTGTACAATTCTCGCTTTGTTTATTTTATTTGGTGTCTGTACAATTCCTTCTTTATTTATTTTATTTGGTGTCTGTACAATTCCTACTTTGTTTATTTTATTTGGTGTCTGTACAATTCTCGCTTTGTTTATTTTATTTGGTGTCTGTATAATTCCTGTTTTGTTTATCTTATTTGGTTTATGTACGATTCCGTCTTCGTTTCCTGTTTTTGTGTCTGTATGCTTCCTTCTTTGTTTCCTGTTTTTGTGTCTGTATGCTTCCTTCTTTGTTTCCTGTTTTTGTGTCTGTATGCTTCCGTCTTCGTTTCCTGTTTTTGTGTCTGTAGGCTTCCTTCTTTGTTTCCTGTTTTTGTGTCTGTATGCTTCCTTCTTTGTTTCCTGTTTTTGTGTCTGTATGCTTCCTTCTTTGTTTTCTGTTTTTGCGTCTGTATGCTTCCTTCTTTGTTTCCTGTTTTTGTGTCTGTATGCTTCCTTCTTTGTTTCCTGTTTTTGTGTCTGTACGATTCCGTCTTCGTTTCCTGTTTTTGTGTCTGTATGCTTCCGTCTTCGTTTCCTGTTTTTGTGTCTGTAGGCTTCCTTCTTTGTTTCCTGTTTTTGTGTCTGTACGCTTCCTTCTTTGTTTCCTGTTTTTGTGTCTGTATGCTTCCTTCTTTGTTTCCTGTTTTTGTGTCTGTATGCTTCCGTCTTCGTTTCCTGTTTTTGTGTCTGTAGGCTTCCTTCTTTGTTTCCTGTTTTTGTGTCTGTATGCTTCCTTCTTTGTTTCCTGTTTTTGTGTCTGTATGCTTCCTTCTTTGTTTCCTGTTTTTGTGTCTGTATGCTTCCTTCTTTGTTTCCTGTTTTTGTGTCTGTATGCTTCCTTCTTTGTTTCCTGTTTTTGTGTCTGTATGCTTCCTTCTTTGTTTCCTGTTTTTGTGTCTGTATGCTTCCTTCTTTGTTTCCTGTTTTTGTGTCTGTATGCTTCCGTCTTCGTTTCCTGTTTTTGTGTCTGTAGGCTTCCTTCTTTGTTTCCTGTTTTTGTGTCTGTATGCTTCCTTCTTTGTTTCCTGTTTTTGTGTCTGTATGCTTCCTTCTTTGTTTCCTGTTTTTGTGTCTGTATGCTTCCTTCTTTGTTTCCTGTTTTTGTGTCTGTATGCTTCCTTCTTTGTTTCCTGTTTTTGTGTCTGTATGATTCCTTCTTTGTTTCCTGTTTTTGTGTCTGTACGATTCCGTCTTTATTTCCTTTTTTGTGTCTGTATGATTCCGTCTTTGTTTTCTGTTTTGGTGTCTTGTTATTTCCAGTTTCTCCCGTTTCTTTTGATTAGTAATCAACGCTTTATTACTATATTCATGGTTTTTAAAGTCTGAAATATTTCTGCGCATATCATTTAGAATATCAATTAGATATATTGTTATTAACCGGTTGTCTACAGGAGGAAATAATTCGGGTCTTTCCGCCAAAATATTATAATAATCGGGGACCAATGTCGCCGTGATATCAGGTTGTGATGACTAATGGATGGCATTGTAATTAGAGGTTATGCGGCCGTATTCCCGTACAGAAATAGACTAGAAATACACTAGATGTGAAGCACGATTTTCCTTGAAGTTCTTAACGTAAATATTGAGCTGATGCATCGTTGAGAACATTTATAACCAAATACAACACAGCTTCTCTACACGGTATCGTGACTTGGAAAAGTCCGTCGGATTGTTCTCTAAGCTTTTAGGACGGAACTATGTTGTTTCCCATTAAAAGCGTTAATAACGTGTACCTCTATGCTTGAGAAAGACGTACATCGATATTGTAAATAATTACAAGTCACGGCTCAATTGTTACATGTACGAAGTCTCTGTACCACGATTTTTATGGTCATAGCTTGCTAAATAGGAACATTAGCTAATGACTGGAAGTTGTCCGTGTATCAACTCTCAGGAGACTCGTAGAGAGACGCTAACAGGCATTGTGCCAGGTGAGGTACCTTTAATCAGGCAAACAGACAGATAACACTTATTATGGTAGAGTAGCACGCAAGCAAACAACTCAACAAAGACGGTAACACGTCACCAAACAATTCAACAAAGCCGGTAACACGTCAGTTTATTATTAAACAAAGAAACACGTCAATTGATTATCAAACAAAGACAGTAACATATCAGTTGATTTTTAATAGAAGACGGTAAAATGTCAGTTGATTATTGAACAAAGACAGAAACACGTCTGTAGATTATTTAAACAAAGACAGCAACACGTCTGTCGATTATTAAAAAAAGACAGCAACACGTCTGTTGATGATTAAACAAAGACAATAACACGTCAGTTAATTATTAAACAAAGACGGTAACATGTCAGTTGATTATTAAACAAAGACAGTAACACGTCTGTCGATTATTAAACAAAGACGGTAACACATCAGTTGATTATTAAACAAAGACGGAAACACGTCAGTTGATTATTAAACAAAGAAACACGTCAATTGATTATCAAACAAAGACAGTAACATACCAGTTGATTTTAAATCAAAGACGGTAAAATATCAGTTGATTATTGAACAAAGACAGAGACACGTCTGTAGATTATTAAACAAAGACTGTAACACGTCAGTTGATAATTAAACAAAGACGGTAACACGTCAGTTGATTATTAAACAAAGTCGGTAACACGTCAGTTGAGTATTAAACAAAGACGGTAACACGTCAGTTGAGTATTAAACAAAGACAGTAACACGTCAATTAATTATTAAACAAAGACGGTAACACATCAGTTGATTATTAAACAAAGTCGGTAACACGTCAGTTGATAAGTAAACAAAGTCGGTGACACGTCAGTTGACTGTTAAACAAAGACGGTAACACGTCAGTTGATTATTAAACAAAGACGAAAACACGTCAGTTGATTATTAAACAAAGACGGTAACACGTCAGTTGACTGTTAAACAAAGACAGTCACATCACTTGATTATTAAACAAAGACAGTAGCGCATATGTTAATTAATAAACAAAGACGGTGACAGGTCTGTTGATTATTGAACAAAGACAGTAACATGTCTGTTGATTATTAAACAAAGTCGGTAACACATCTGTGAATTATTGAACAAAGACAGAAACACGTCTGTTGATTATTATACAAAGATGGTAACACGTCAGTTGATAAGTAAACAAATACGGTAACACGTCTCTTGATTATTATACAAAGATGGTAACACGTCAGTTGATAAGTAAACAAAGACGGTAACACGTCAGTTGATTATTAAACAAAGACGGTAACACGTCAGTTGAGTATTAAACAAAGAAACACGTCAATTGATTATCAAACAAAGACAGTAACATACCAGTTGATTTTAAATCAAAGACGGTAAAATATCAGTTGATTATTGAACAAAGACAGAGACACGTCTATAGATTATTAAACAAAGACAGTAACACGTCAGTTGATAATTAAACAAAGACAGTAACATGTCCGTTGATTATTATACAAAGATGGAAACACGTCAGTTGATAATTAAACAAAGACAGTAACACGTCAGTTGATTATTTAAACAAAGACAGCAACACGTCAGTTTATTATTAAACAAAGTCGGCAACACGTCAGTTGATTATGAAACAAAGACGAAAACACGTCAGTTGATTATTAAACAAAGACAGTAGCACGTCTGTTGATTTTTGAACAAAGTCGGTAACACGTCAGTTGATATTTAAACAAAGACGGTAACACGTCAGTTGATTATTAAACAAAGACGGTAACATGTCAGTTGATTATTAAACAATGTCGGTAACACGTCAGTTGATTATTAAACAAAGACGAAAACTCGTCAGTTGATTATTAAACAAAGTCGGTAACACGTCAGTTGACTGTTAAACAAAGACGGTAACACGTCAGTTGATTATTAAACAAAGACGAAAACACGTCAGTTGATTATTAAACAAAGACGGTAACACGTCAGTTGATTATTAAACAAAGACAGTCACATCAGTTGATTATTTAACAATGACAGTAGCGCATCTGTTAATTAATAAACAAAGACGGTGACATGTCTGTGTGTTGATTATTGAACAAAGACAGTAACATGTCTGTTGATTATTAAACAAAGACAGTAACATGTCCGTTGATTATTATACAAAGATGGAAACACGTCAGTTGATTATTAAACAAAGACAGTAACACGTCAGTTGATTATTAAACAAAGACAGTAACACGTCGGTTGATTATTGAACAAAGACGGAAACACGTCAGTTGATTATTAAACAAAGACGGTAACACGTCAGTTGATTTTTGAACAAAGACAGAAATACGTCGGTGGATTATTGAACAAAGACAGTAACACGTCTGTAGATTATTTAAACAAAGACAGCAACACGTCTGTCGATTATTAAACAAAGACGGTAACACGTCAATTGATTATTAAACAAAGACTTTAACACGTCGGTGATTATTAAACAAAGACGGTAACACGTCAGTTGATAATTAAACAAAGACGGTAACACGTCAGTTGATTATTGATGATTATTGAACAAAGACGGAAACACGTCAGTTGTAACAAAGACGTAACAGTTGATTATTGAACAAAGACAGTAACATGGCCGTTGATTATTATACAAAGACAGTAACACGTCAGTTGATTATTAAACAAAAACAGTAACACGTCAGTTTATTATTAAACAAAGATGGAAACACGTCAGTTGATTATTAAACAAAGACGGAAACACGTCATTTGATTATTAAACAAAGACGAAAACACGTCAGTTGATTTTTAAACAAAGACGGTAACACGTCAGTTGATTATTAAACAAAGACAGTAACACGTCTGTTGATTATTAAACAAAGACGGTAACACGTCGGTTGATTATTAAACAAGGACGGTAACACGTCTGTTGATTATTGTACAAAGACGGAAACACGTCAGTTGATTATTAAACAAAGACAGTAACACGTCTGTTGATTATTGATTAATAAACAAAGACGAAAACACGTCAGTTGATTATTAAACAAAGACGGTAACACGTCAGTTGATTATTAAACAAAGACGGTAACACGTCGGTTGATTATTGAACAAAGACAGTTATTAAACAAAAACAGTAACACGTCAGTTGATTATTAAACAAAGATGGAAACACGTCAGTTGATTATTAAACAAAGACGGAAACACGTCAGTTGATTATTAAACAAAGACAGTAACACGTCTGTTGATTATTAAACAAAGACGGTAACACGTCGGTTGATTATTAAACAAAGACAGTAACATGTCAGTTGATTATTAAACAAAGACAGTAACATGTCCGTTGATTATTTTACAAAGACAGTAACACGTCAGTTGATTTTTGAACAAAGACAGCAACACGTCGGTCGATTATTAAAAAAAGACAGCAACACGTCTGTTGATGATTAAACAAAGACAATAACACGTCAGTTAATTATTAAACAAAGACGGTAACATGTCAGTTGATTATTAAACAAAGACGGTAACACGTCAATTGATTATTAAACAAAGACGGTAACACGTCAGGTGATTATGAAACAAAGACGGTAACACGTCAGTTGATTATTAAACAAAGACGGTAACACGTCAGTTGATTATTAACAAAGACCGTAACACGTCGGTTGATTATTGAACAAAGACGGAAACACGTCAGTTGATTATTAAACAAAACGGTAACACGTCAGTTGACGTTGTAACACGTCAGTTGATTATTGAACAAAGACAGTTGATTATTAACAAACAGTAACACGTTGATTATTATTAAACAAAGATGGTAACACGTCAGTTGATTATTAAACAAAAGACAGTTGAACGGTAACACGTCAGTTGATTATTAAACAAAGACGGTAACACGTCAGTTGATTATTAAACAAAGACGGTAACACGTCGGTTGATTATTGAACAAAGACAGTAACATGTCAGTTGATTATTATACAAAGACAGTAACATGTCAGTTGATTATTAAACAAAGACAGTAACACGTCAGTTGATTATTAAACAAAGACGGTAACACGTCAGTTGATTATTAACAAAAAGTAACACGGTTGATTAGAACAAAGACGGAAACACGTCAGTTGATTATTAAACAAAGACAGTAACACGTCTGTTGATTATTAAACAAAGACGGTAACACGTCGGTTGATTATTCAACAAAGACAGTAACATGTCAGTTGATTATTAAACAAAGACAGTAACACGTCAGTTGATTATTAAACAAAGACGGTAACACGTCAGTTGATTATTAAACAAAGACAGTAACACGTCAGTTGATTATTAAACAAAAACAGTAACACGTCAGTTGATTATTAAACAAAGACGGTAACACGTCAGGTGATTATTAACACGTAACATGTCCGTTGATTATTCAACAAAAACAGTAACACGTCTGTTGATTATTAAACAAAGACGGTAACACGTCAGTTGATTATTAAACAAAGACGGTAACACGTCTGTTGATTATTAAACAAAGACGGTAACACGTCGGTGGATTATTATACAAAGACAGTAACATGTCAGTTGATTATTAAACAAAGACAGTAACACGTCAGTTGATTTTTGAACAAAGACAGCAACACGTCGGTCGATTATTAAAAAAAGACAGCAACACGTCTGTTGATGATTAAACAAAGACAATAACACGTCAGTTAATTATTAAACAAAGACGGTAACATGTCAGTTGATTATTAAACAAAGACGGTAACACGTCAGGTGATTATTAAACAAAGACGGTAACACGTCAGTTGATTATTAAACAAAGACGGTAACACGTCAGTTGATTATTAAACAAAGACGGTAACACGTCAGTTGATTATTAACAAAGACCGTAACACGTCGGTTGATTATTGAACAAAGACGGAAACACGTCAGTTGATTATTAAACAAAGACGGTAACACGTCAGTTGATTATTAACAAAGACCGTAACACGTCGGTTGATTATTGAACAAAGACGGAAACACGTCAGTTGATTATTAAACAAAGACGGTAACACGTCTGTTGATTATTGAACAAAGACAGTAACATGTCCGTTGATTATTATACAAAGACAGTAACACGTCAGTTGATTATTAAACAAAAACAGTAACACGTCAGTTTATTATTAAACAAAGATGAAAACACGTCAGTTGATTATTAAACAAAGACGAAAACACGTCAGTTGATTATTAAACAAATACGGTAACACGTCAGATTATTGATTGATTATTGAACAAAAGTAACACGTCAGTTGATTATTATACAAAGACAGTAACAGTTGATTATTAAACAAAGACAGTAACGTCAGTTGATTATTAAACAAAGACGGTAACACAGTTGTAACACGTCAGTTGATTATTCAACAAACACAGAAACACGTCTGTTGATTATTTAACAAAGACAGTAACATGTCAGTTGATTATTAAACAAAGACAGTAACACGTCAGTTGATTATTGAACAAAGACGGTAACACGTCAGTTGATTATTAAACAAAGACAGTAACACATTGAACAAAGACAGTCAGTTGATTATTATACAAAGACAGTAACACGTCAGTTGATTATTAAACAAAAACAGTAACACGTCAGTTGATTATTAAACAAAGACGGAAACACGTCAGTTGATTAATAAACAAAGACGAAAACACGTCAGTTGATTATTAAACAAAGACGGTAACACGTCGGTTGATTATTCAACAAAGACAGTAACATGTCAGTTGATTATTAAACAAAGACAGTAACATGTCCGTTGATTATTTTACAAAGACAGTAACACGTCAGTTGTAACACGTCATTTGATTATTAAACAAAGACGGTAACACGTCAGTTGATTATTAAACAAAGACGGTAACACGTCAGTTGATTAGTAAACAAAGACGGTAACACGTCAGTTGATTATTAAACAAAGTAACAGTTGATTATTAACACGTCAGTTGATTATTAAACAAAGACAGTAACACGTCAGTTGATTATTAAACAAAGACGCAAACACGTCTGTTGATTATTAAACAAAGACGAAAACACGTCAGTTGATTATTAAACAAAGACGGTAACACGTCAGTTGATTATTAAACAAAGACAGTAACACGTCAGTTGATTATTAAACAAAAACAGTAACACGTCAGTTTATTATTAAACAAAGACCGTAACACGTCGGTTGATTATTAAACAAAGACGGAAACACGTCAGTTGATTATTAAACAAAGACAGTAACACGTCTGTTGATTATTAAACAAAAAGACACGTCGGTTGATTATTAAACACGTCAGTTGATTATAAACAAAAACAGTAACACGTCAGTTGATTATTAAACAAAGACGGAAACACGTCAGTTGATTAATAAACAAAGACGAAAACACGTCAGTTGATTATTAAACAAAGACGGTAACACGTCAGTTGATTATTAAACAAAGACGGTAACACGTCAGTTGATTATTATACAAAGACGGTAACACGTGATTATTTAGTAACACATTTTTGAAAGACAGTTGATTATTAACAAAGACAGTAACACGTCAGTTGATTATTTGAAAACACGTAGTTGATTGAACAAAGACGGTAACACGTCAGTTGATTATTAAACAAAGACGGTAACACGTCAGTTGATTATTAACAAAGACCGTAACACGTCGGTTGATTATTGAACAAAGACGGAAACACGTCAGTTGATTATTAAACAAAGACGGTAACACGTCTGTTGATTATTGAACAAAGACGGTAACACGTCAGTTGATTATTAAACAAAAACAGTAACACGTCAGTTTATTATTAAACAAAGATGAAAACACGTCAGTTGATTATTAAACAAAGACGGTAACACGTCAGTTGATTATTAAACAAAGACGGTAACACGTCAGTTGATTATTGAACAAAGACGGTAACATGTCAGTTGATTATTATACAAAGACAGTAACATGTCCGTTGATTATTATACAAAGACAGTAACACGTCAGTTGATTTTTGAACAAAGACAGAAATACGTCGGTGGATTATTGGACAAAGACAGTAACATGTCAGTTGATTATTGAACAAAGACGGTAACACGTCAATTGATTATTAAACAAAGACGGTAACACGTCAGGTGATTATTAAACAAAGACGGTAACACGTCAGTTGATTATTAAACAAAGACGGTAACACGTCAGTTGATTATTAAACAAAGACAGTAACACGTCAGTTGATTATTAAACAAAAACAGTAACACGTCAGTTTATTATTAAACAAAGATGGAAACACGTCAGTTGATTATTAAACAAAGACGGAAACACGTCAGTTGATTATTAAACAAAGACAGTAACATGTCAGTTGATTATTGAACAAAGACGGTAACACGTCAATTGATTATTAAACAAAGACGGTAACACGTCAGTTGATTATTAAACAAAGACGGTAACACGTCGGTTGATTATTGAACAAAGACAGTAACATGTCAGTTGATTATTATACAAAGACAGTAACATGTCCGTTGATTATTATACAAAGACAGTAACACGTCAGTTGATTTTTGAACAAAGACAGAAATACGTCGGTGGATTATTGGACAAAGACAGTAACATGTCAGTTGATTATTAAACAAAGACGGTAACACGTCAATTGATTATTAAACAAAGACGGTAACACGTCAGGTGATTATTAAACAAAAACGGTAACACGTCTGTTGATTATTGAACAAAGACGGAAAGACGTCAGTTGATTATTAAACAAAGACGGTAACACGTCTGTTGATTATTGAACAAAGACAGTAACATGTCCGTTGATTATTATACAAAGACAGTAACACGTCAGTTGATTATTAAACAAAAACAGTAACACGTCAGTTGATTATTAAACAAAGTCAATAATACGTCTGTTAATTATTGAACAAAGACAGTAACATGTCAGTTGATTATTAAACAAAGACGGTAACACGTCAGAGAAACAGGAGGAAAACTGTATCACGAAAGACGACGCCAAGTCTAAGTCACTACAAATACCATCTTAAACGGAAAACGACACTGGACTGTCCATTCCTGATTTCAGTGAGAACAATGCTAGTCTATGCCAAAACCAGGTGGGGCCCAAAACCAGTCTTAGCCAAAACTAGGTGGTTCCCAATCCAGTCTTGGCCAAAACCAGGTGGGGCCCAGACTAGCTTGGCCAAAACCAGGTGGGGCCCAAACCAGTCTTGGCCAAAACTAGGCGGGGCCCAAACCAGTCTTGGCCAAAACTAGGTGGGGCCCAAACCAGTCTTGGCCAAAACCACTGGTGCCCAAATCAGGTGAGGACAGGTAGACGAATAAATAGAGGAATGCTAGATACATGTAACTCCGCCACCTACCAACACTGATAATAGTCGTAGTACACATCTCTTCGCTAGTAACACCAGTTTAAGTGTTAAAGTCTGAGAGGGTGCAATAGCAGGAGAATCATCTATTTCTCTGTAAATAACGATACAACAAATGAACTCCTGTCGAGCATGCGAGTCTATATTATGAGTAATGAAGTCTGCCACATCCAAGCTTTCCATAGGAATAGAAGGATTACCCGACACGCGTTTGTCTACCAAAGATTGATGATCTCTGTACGGAGTGAATTGCCGTTTCCTTGTATCCTAATCAGAAAAAAAGAACTAAATATCTTCACAACACGTGTCGGCAATTATCTCTCTATTCAATTTATCTGCGTCTTAAAAATAGATAAATAATAGCATCAATGATAAATGACTTAGTTCACTTGGTATTACAGTGTATCAGTTTGATAACGAAACACTTTTTCTCAGATCAACTGTCATTTCCGTTTCTATATTCCATTTGCCTCCATGTCATAACTTCATTTCCGGTTGGCGGTGGAGGTCCAGCTTGACACACACGTCTCCCGGCATGTTTCGGACATGATCGATACCCATCATCTTGATGGAATTATACATCTACAAAAACGGAAACGCTCATTCAATCAATCCTTGTATAGTGACAAACGTATCCGTGGGCCGGATAAGAGCCTGCTCCAGGTTTACTACATGTCCGTCACCAACCTATAGAGATCTCACGAGCACGATAATCTTTGTGACATAATTTGTGAACTAGAAATGACAGGACTTCAGTCCAACTGCTTGTGTATAAATTATTTGAGCACTGTAAAGTTTCCATTCAGATGCGACTTACTAAGCTGTAACTTCCGGTAGACTGGCTGAAAACATTGATGAGGACACCGCGTACAAAATGCAAGTGTTTTTATGTAGGGGATACTGCTGATGTTGTCACCCGGAAGTACAATTCACTGTACCGAATTACTCGCCATTCTTTAAATATTTGTGACGTTATAATTCGTTTTATCAACTAAGAAATTAAACAACGTTTTCGGAAACAGGTTGTCAAACACTTGTTTTGACACTTGAATAAGAAGAGTGGTTGTATAACGAAGATTGTGGTAGCATTGACTGTCGACACATTTTTACTCGGAAAAATAATAATATTTCATTGGGTTTCGCATGAATTGGACGAGAAGTTATATTGGTAGTCTATTTGTCGGTGTGAGGACGATGGCACGTTGCCTGTCTGTGTGAGGACGATGTCACGTTGTCTGTCTGTGTGAAGACGATGTCACGTTTCCTGTTTGTGTGAGGACGATGTAACGCTGTCTGTCTGTGTGAGGACGATGTCACGTTGTCTGTCTGTGTGAGGACGATGTAACGTTGTCTGTCTGTGTGAGGACGATGTCACGTTGTCTGTCTGTGTGAGGACGATGTCACGTTGCCTGTCTGTGTGAGGACGATGTCACGTTGTCTGTCTGTGTGAAGACGATGTCACGTATCCTGTTTGTGTGAGGACGATGTAACGTTGTCTGTCTGTGTGAGGACGATGTCACGTTGTCTGTTTGTGTGAGGACGATGTCACGTTGTCTGTCTGTGTGAGGACGATGTCACGTTGTCTGTCTGTGTGAAGACGATGTCACGTTTCCTGTTTGTGTGAGGACGATGTAACGTTGTCTGTCTGTGTGAGGACGATGTCACGTTGTCTGTTTGTGTGAGGACGATGTCACGTTGTCTGTCTGTGTGAGGACGATGTCACGTTGTCTGTCTGTGTGAGGACGATGTCACGTTGTCTGTTTGTGTGAGGATGATGTCACGTTGTCTGTTTGTGTGAGGACGATGTCATGTTGTCTGTTTGTGTAAGGACGATGTAACGTTGTCTGTTTGTGTGAGGACGATGTCATATTGTCTGTTTGTGTGAGGACGATGTAACGTTGCCTGTTTGTTTGTGTTATGACAATGTCACACTGAATGTTTGTGTTATGGTGTTATGACAATGTCCCACTGAATGTTTGTGTTATGACAATGTCCCACTGAATGTTTGCGTTATGACAATGTCACGCTGAATGTTTGTGTTATGACAATGTCTCACTGAATGTTTGTGTTATGACAATGTCACACTGAATGTTTGTGGTATGACAATGTCACACTGAATGTTTGTGTTATGACAATGTAACACTGAATGTTTGTGGTATGACAATGTAACACTGAATGTTTGTGGTATGACAATGTCACACTGAATGTTTGTGTTATGACAATGTCACACTTGGACTGAAGATGTAATGTGACGTCGTGTACTTATCAAGTACTTTTTTGATGTGGTGTGGATTGTAACAAACAAATAAGTAATGAGATACTATTCAGCTCAAGATGACTTTAATTTCTCAAAACACGTTCTACGACTGTCTAAATTGGTTGCATAATTTCATATTTTAAAATATAGATCACTCCGTATGGGGATATGTTACTACCAGACTGATGAACACTGGATAGTGTAGGGAACAGTCGATGACCATAAGGAGTGTGCCATGTCGTTATTTCGTCGCGAAATAAAGACAACTGTTTTCGCTCCACGATTTACCGTTATTTCGCTTCTCTGTGACATAACAATAATCTTCATTTTGCCGTTCTTGAGGGTGATATAACGATGACATCGGGGAGAAATACTAGAGGTCGCAAATCATTGACATCTTAGTCTCGTAAGTTTGCGTAAGATTGTGTTATGTTCAGAGGGACATTATGACAATAATCATCGTCATTTTACGACGAGGTAACGGAATGGCACGGAAAACGGATATCCGAGTCATGGACCCGGGCGAAAGTGTAGGGATATGTAACAGCACAGCCAGAGAGCCCAACGGGTCACGGACCCGGGCAAAAGTGTAGGGACATGTAACAGTACAGCTAGAGGGCTAGCCGGACCCATAAACTCAGACAAATGTGCGCAGTTGCGTTTTACTCGTACAAATTACAAACAAATCTCGGATATGTCAACTTGATCACAATCACAATGACTTTACAGACGTCGAGCATCAGAATCTTCAGACGACAGAGACGATAGAAGCGACGATTACTTGTTATTGTGAGTACATAATAGGTCAATAGTTTACTGGTGATAATAGTGTGGGAAAATACCACAAAGGTCTCGTCCTTCATATGCGAGAGAACGATGAAGACAAGACCCGATTCATACATACATAAAACGTATACCAACATATTTGCTTGACTACCTTACAAAAAGTATTAATCTTTAGGCAAGTAAAAACCTAGCCAACAATACCACACCAATCCACATTCTCTTACCGTGTCAATATTCTAACAGTATTCAACTCAAAATAAACTTAGCTGGTCCACAGTCATACAGTGTTTAAGTCAAGTACATCTAAGCTTCTAGATAAACATGTCTTGTCCATAGTTCTACAGTATTCGACACGAACTCGTTTTACCTGGTCCATAGTTCTACAGTATTCGACACGAACTCGTTTTACCTGGTCCATAGTTCTACAGTATTCGACACGAACTCGTTTTACCTGGTCCATAGTTCCACAGTATTCGACACGAACTCGTTTTACCTGGTCCATAGTTCCACAGTATTCGACACGAACTCGTTTTACCTGGTCCATAGTTCTACAGTATTCGACACGAACTCGTTTTACCTGGTCCATGGTTCTACAGTATTCGACACGAACTCGTTTTACCTGGTCCATAGTTCTACAGTATTCGACACGAACTCGTTTTACCTGGTCCATAGTTCTACAGTATTCGACACGAACTCGTTTTACCTGGTCCATAGTTCTACAGTATTCGACACGAACTCGTTTTACCTGGTCCATAGTTCTACAGTATTCGACACGAACTCGTTTTACCTGGTCCATAGTTCTACAGTATTCAACACGATCTCATTTTACCTGGTCCATCGTCCAACAGTATTCAACACGATCTCATTTTACCTGGTCCATCGTCCAACAGTATTCAACACGATCTCATTTTACCTGGTCCATGGTTCTACAGTATTCAACACGATCTCATTTTACCTGGTCCATAGTTCTACAGTATTCAACACGATCTCATTTTACCTGGTCCATAGTTCTACAGTATTCAACACGAACTCGTTTTACCTGGTTCATCGTCCAACATTAGTTAACACGAACTCGTTTTACCTGGTTCATCGTCCAACATTAGTTAACACGAACTCACTTTTGCTGGTCCTCAGTTCTACAGTAATCGACATTAACCCAATATAACTGGTTCATTGTTCAAAAGCCAACGTTAAACATATATTAAGGATTGTTATGCATAATTTATTCTAGACTGTACCCATGGTCTTATCAGTAACACAGCTAGACTGTACCCATGGTCCCATCAGTAACACAGCTAGACTGTATCCATGGTCCTATCAGTAACACAGCTAGACAGTACCTCAGGTCTATCAGTGTTATAGCTAGGCTGTATCTCTGGTCTATCAGTGTTAAAACTAGGCTCTACCTCTGTTCTATCAGTGTTATAGCTAGACTGTATCTCTGGTCTATCAGTGTTATAACTAGGCTCTACCTCTGTTCTATCAGTGTTATAACTAGGCTCTACCTCTGTTCTATCAGTGTTATAACTAGGCTCTACCTCTGTTCTATCAGTGTTATAGCTAGACTGTATTTCTGGTCTATCAGTGTTAAAGTTAGACTGTATCTCTGGTCTATCAGTGTTATAGCTAGACTGTACCTCTGGTCTATCAGTGTTATAGCTAGACTGTATCTCTGGTCTATCAGTGTTATAGCTAGACTATCTCTGGTCTATCAGTGTTATAGCGAGGCTGTACCTCTGGTCTATCATTGTTTATAGCTAGACTGTACCTCTGGTCTATCAGTGTTATAGTTAGACTGTACCTCTGGTCTATCAGTGTTATAGCTAGACTGTACCTCTGGTCTATCAGTGTTATAGCTAGGCTGTACCTCTGGTCTATCAATGTTATAGCTAGGCTGTATCTCTGGTCTAACAGTGTTATAGCTAGGCCGTATCTCTGGTCTATCAGTGTTATAGCTAGGCTGTACCTCTGGTCTATCAGTGTTATAGCTAGACTGTACCTCTGGTCTATCAGTGTTATAGCTAGACCGTACCTCTGGTCTATCAGTGTTATAGCGAGGGTGTACCTCTGGTCTATCAGTGTTATAGCTAGACTGTACCTCAGGTCTATCAGTGTTATAGCTGGACTGTACCTCTGGTCTATCAATGTTATAGCTAGACAGTACCTCTGGTCTATCAGTGTTATAGCTAGGCTGTACCTCTGGTCTATCAGTGTTATAGCTAGACAGTACCTCTGGTCTATCAGTGATATAGCTAAGCTGTATCTCTTGTCTATCAGTGTTATAACTAGACTACTTCTGGTCTATCAGTGTTAAAGTGAGACTGTATCTCTGGTCTATCAGTGTTATAGCTAGACTGTACCTTTGGTCTATCAGTGTTATAGCTAGACTATACCTCTGGTCTATCAGTGTTATAGCTAGGCTGTACCTCTGGTCTATCAGTGTTATAGCTAGACTGTACCTCTGGTCTATCAGTGTTATAGCTAGTTTGTACCTCTGGTCTATCAGTGTTATAGCGAGGGTGTACCTCTAGTCTATCAGTGTTATAGCTAGACTGTACCTCAGGTCTATCAGTGTTATAGCTAGACTGTATCTCTGGTCTATCAGTGTTATAGCGAGGCTGTATCTCTGGTCTATCAGTGTTATAGCTAGCTCTACCTCTGGTCTATCAGTGTTATAGCTAGACCGTACCTCTGGTCTATCAGTGTTATTAGCGAGGCTGTATCTCTGGTCTATCAGTGTTATAGCTAGCTCTACCTCTGGTCTATCAGTGTTATAGCTAGACCGTACCTCTGGTCTATCAGTGTTATAGCGAGGGTGTACCTCTGGTCTATCAGTGTTATAGCTAGCTCTACCTCTGGTCTATCAGTGTTATAGCTAGACCGTACCTCTGGTCTATCAGTGTTATAGCGAGGGTGTACCTCTGGTCTATCAGTGTTATAGCTAGCTCTACCTCTGGTCTATCAGTGTTATAGCTAGACCGTACCTCTGGTCTATCAGTGTTATAGCGAGGGTGTACCTCTGGTCTATCAGTGTTATAGCTAGACTGTACCTCAGGTCTATCAGTGTTATAGCTAGACTGTACCTCTGGTCTATCAGTGTTATAGCAAGGCTATACCTCTGGTCTATCAGTATTATAGCTAGACTACCTCTGGTCTATCAGTGTTATAGCTAGACTGTATCTCTGGTCTATCAGTGTTATAGCTGGACTATACCTCTGGTCTATCAGTGTTATAGCTAGACTACCTCTGGTCTATCAGTGTTATAGCTGGACTGTACCTCTGGTCTATCAGTGTTATAGCGAGGCTGTATCTCTGGTCTATCAGTGTTATAGCTAGACTGTACCTCTGGTCTATCAGTGTTATAGCTAGGCTGTACCTCTGGTCTATCAGTGTTATAGCTAGACTGTACCTCTGGTCTATCAGTGTTATAGCTAGGCTGTACCTCTGGTCTATCAGTGTTATAGCTAGGCTGTACCTCTGGTCTATCAGTGTTATAGCTAGACTGTACCTCTGGTCTATCAGTGTTATAGCTAGGTAAACCTCTGGTCTATCAGTGTTATAGCTAGACTGTATGTCTGGACTATCAGTGTTATAGCTAGGCTGTACCTCTGGTCTATCAGTGGTATAGCTAGACTGTATCTCTGGTCTATCAGTGTTATAGCTAGACTGTATCTCTGGTCTATCAGTGTTATAGCGAGGCTGTACCTCTGGTCTATCAGTGTTATAGCTGGACTGTACCTCTGGTCTATCAGTGTTATAGCTAGACTACCTCTGGTCTATCAGTGTTATAGCTAGGCTGTACCTCTGGTCTATCAGTGTTATAGCTAGACTGTACCTCTGGTCTATCAGTGTTATAGCTAGACTGTACCTCTGGTCTATCAGTGTTATAGCTAGACTGTACCTCTGGTCTATCAGTGTTATAGCTAGGCTGTACCTCTGGTCTATCAGTGTTATAGCTAGACTGTACCTCTGGTCTATCAGTGTTATAGCTAGACTGTATCTCTGGTCTATCAGTGTTATAGCTAGACAGTACCTCTAGTCTATCAGTGTTATAGCTAGGCTGTACCTCTGGTCTATCAGTGTTAAAGCTAGGCTGTACCTCTGGTCTATCAGTGTTATAGCTAGACAGTACCTCTGGTCTGTCAGTGTTATAGCTAGGCTGTACCTCTGGTCTGGTCTACCTCTGGTCTATCAGTGTTATAGCGAGGCTGTATCTCTGGTCTATCAGTGTTATAGCTAGGCTGTATCTCTGGTCTAACAGTGTTATAGCTAGGCTGTACCTCTGGTCTATCAGTGTTATAGCGAGGCTGTATCTCTTGTCTATCAGTGTTATAGCTGGACTGTACCTCTGGTCTATCAGTGTTATAGCTAGCCTATACCTCTGGTCTATCAGTGTTATAGCTAGACTGTACCTCTGGTCTATCAGTGTTAAAGTGAGACTGTATCTCTGGTCTATCAGTGTTATAGCTAGACTGTACCTTTGGTCTATCAGTGTTATAGCTAGACTGTACCTCTGGTCTATCAGTGTTATAGCTAGACTGTATCTCTGGTCTATCAGTGTTATAGCTAGGCTGTACCTCTGGTCTATCAGTGTTATAGCTAGGCTGTACCTCTGGTCTATCAGTGTTATAGCTAGACTGTACCTCTGGTCTATCAGTGTTATAACTAGGCTCTACCTCTGTTCTATCAGTGTTATAGCTATAGCTAGACTGTATTTCTGGTCTATCAGTGTTATAGCTAGACTGTACCTCTGGTCTATCAGTGTTATAGCTAGACTGTACCTCTGGTCTATCAGTGTTATAGCAAGGCTATACCTCTGGTCTATCAGTATTATAGCTAGACTACCTCTGGTCTATCAGTGTTATAGCTAGACTGTATCTCTGGTCTATCAGTGTTATAGCTGGACTATACCTCTGGTCTATCAGTGTTATAGGTAGACTACCTCTGGTCTATCAGTGTTATAGCTGGACTGTACCTCTGGTCTATCAGTGTTATAGCGAGGCTGTATCTCTGGTCTATCAGTGTTATAGCTAGGCTGTATCTCTGGTCTAACAGTGTTATAGCGAGGCTGTATCTCTGGTCTATCAGTGTTATAGCTAGGCTGTATCTCTGGTCTAACAGTGTTATAGCTAGGCTGTACCTCTGGTCTATCAGTGTTATAGCGAGGCTGTATCTCTTGTCTATCAGTGTTATAGCTGGACTGTACCTCTGGTCTATCAGTGTTATAGCTAGCCTATACCTCTGGTCTATCAGTGTTATAGCTAGACTGTACCTCTGGTCTATCAGTGTTAAAGTGAGACTGTATCTCTGGTCTATCAGTGTTATAGCTAGACTGTACCTCTGGTCTATCAGTATTATAGCAAGACTGTACCTCTGGTCTATCAGTGTTATAGCTAGACTGTATCTCTGGTCTATCAGTGTTATAGCTAGACTGTACTTCTGGTCTATCAGTGTTATAGCTAGACTACCTCTGGTCTATCAGTGTTATAGCTAGACTGTACCTCTGTTCTATCAGTGTTATAACTAGGCTCTACCTCTGTTCTATCAGTGTTATAGCTAGACTGTATTTCTGGTCTATCAGTGTTAAAGTGAGACTGTATCTCTGGTCTATCAGTGTTATAGCTAGACTGTACCTCTGGTCTATCAGTGTTATAGCTAGACTGTACCTCTGGTCTATCAGTGTTATAGCTAGACTGTACCTCTGGTCTATCAGTGTTATAGCTAGACTGTACCTATGGTACCCACGATTCTGTCAGTATTATACATGTATATGTAGATAGCCGGTACATCTTGCCTATCAGTATAACAGCTAGACTGTACCTCTGGTCTATCAGTATTACGGTATCAGTATTAAGGCTAGGCTGTACCTCTGGTCTACACTGAACCACTGTTCCCACCAATATTGTAGTAAGGAGGTATATGACCCTATTTGTATTTCATGTAGGCTCTACCTTTGGTATATCAGTATTATAGCAAGGGTGTACACCTTGTATATCAGTGTTATATCTAAGATATATCCCTGTTATAGCAGTATTACGTCTAGGCTGTACCACTTTCCTATCAGTATTATGTCTAGGCTGTACCCGTGATCCTGTCAGTATTATACACGTAGCCAGGCTGTACCCGTGATTCTGTCAGTATTATACACGTAGCCAGGCTGTACCCGTGATTCTGTCAGTATTATACACGTAGCCAGGCTGTACCCGTGATCCTGTCAATATTATACACGTAGCCAGGCTGTACCCGTGATTCTGTCAATATTATACACGTAGCCAGGCTGTACCCGTGATTCTGTCAATATTATACACGTAGCCAGGCTGTACCCGTGATTCTGTCAATATTATACACGTAGCCAGGCTGTACTCGTGATCCTGTCAGTATTATACAAGTAGCCAGGCTGTACCCGTGATCCTGACAGTATTATACACGTAGCCAGGCTGTACCCGTGATTCTGTCAATATTATACACGTAGCCAGACTGTACTCGTGATCCTGTCAGTATTATACAAGTAGCCAGGCTGTACCCGTGATCCTGACAGTATTATACACGTAACCAGGCTGTACCCGTGATCCTGTCAGTATTATACACGTAGCCAGGCTATAACCTCTGGTCTAGACTGAATCTTTGTTCCCACCAATAGCATAGTAAGGAGGTACCCGATCCTATCAGTGTTATAGCCAGATTGTACCTCTGGACTAGTACTATTGGTCAGTATTTCAGCGAGACTGTTCTTCTGTCTTTATCAGTATTATAGCTAATTATAGTCTGTACTTCTGTCTTTACCAGTATTATAGCTAATTATAATCTGTACTTCTGTCTTTACCAGTATTATAGCTAATTATAAACTGTACTTCTGTCTTTACAAGTATTATAGCTAATTATAATCTGTACTTCTGTCTTCACCAGTATTACAGTTAATTATAAGCTGTACTTCTGTTTCCCTTCTGTCTTTACCAGTATTATAGCTAATTATAAACTGTACTTCTGTCTTTACCAGTATTAGAATTAGTTATAATCTGTACTTCTGTCTTTACCAGTATTATAGCTAATTATAAACTGTACTTCTGTCTTTACAAGTATTATTGTTAATTATAAACTGTACTTCTGTCTCTACCAGTATTAGAGCTAATTATAAACTGTACTTCTGTTTCCCTTAGTATTACAGTTAGGCAGTACCTCTAGCCATATCAGTATTACAGTTAGGCAGTACGTCTGGTCATATCAGTATTACAGTTAGGCAGTACCTCTGGTCATATCAGTATTACAGTTAGGCAGTACGTCTGGTCATATCAGTATTACAGTTAGGCAGTACCTCTGGTCATATCAGTATTACAGTTAGGCAGTACCTCTGGTCATATCAGTATTACAGTAAGGCAGTACCTCTGGTCATATCAGTATTACAGTTAGGCAGTACCTCTGGTCATATCAGTATTACAGTTAGGCAGTACCTCTGGTCATATCAGTATTACAGTTAGGCAGTACCTCTGGTCATATCAGTATTACAGTTAGGCAGTACCTCTGGTCATATCAGTATTACAGTTAGGCAGTACCTCTGGTCATATCAGTATTACAGTTAGGCAGTACCTCTGGTCATATCAGTATTACAGTTAGGCAGTACCTCTGGTCATATCAGTATTACAGTTAGACAGTACGTCTGGTCATATCAGTATTAAAGCTAGGTTTTGCCTATGGTCATGTAAGCTGTGCATATAGTCATATCTGTTTTATATATGTAGCTAGGCTGTCAATCCCGATATGAGAAGTTTGAGTATTTTCACTAACGAAAACGGAAATGGAATTAAATTTCAACGACATATTTTTAATGCATTAAGCCCAGATGATAATGAAAACATATACGCATTTCCATTAGTTTCCTTGGTGTTGTTGAAGCGTCTGTAATACACCAACTACAAAAAAACGGATTCTACTTACAATGGGAACGATGAAAACAAAGATGAAAGACAACGTTTGGTCTCTTGCATGCCTTATCAGAAGTGCATATTGTTATAACTATGCATGTCGACCATACCGTTCGCGAGTCACACCACAGTATGTAAATATGATGGAATGTAGTACCTGCTCTACATAATCATACATCCATTTATAGAATTTGTGACCAAGTGTCAACCTAAATCCACGAGGAAATTCACCACAAAATTTCCAGAGATATTCCATAACGTTTTCTAGTCACTTTGAATTATCCAAGTGTTTTTTTCTTCCTTGGCTTAACATTGCTATCACCAATCTCATTTCATACATAAATACTCGTTTTAAACGACACACAGTATAACCGTGCAGTAAACAATGGTCAAAATCGCATCTGTTCTACTAACACTAAAATATAGTATAAATATTCATTTCTGTATTGCTACTTCCTGGAGAAAATAAATTCATTGTAATGTTGCCATTTTGCTTCTTCTGTGTCCATTCCAGCCTTGATTTCCCCGGCGTTGTTTGTACCCGAAGCGCAGCAGCTACTCAGGGAAAATCCCTCCTCGTATAACATATCAAAAGCTTGTTCTAAGAAGTTGTGTTTCAGGAAAAACCTCACGGTGTATCTGTCGGAGACTCCACGATCTGGATCCCGGCTCTCATTCAGCGTGTCCTTGAACACCTCGCGACACAGCGACACCTTACCACAGACAATGATACGGCTTATTTTTCTGAACTTGACGTCCGCCAAACCGTCACGTCCAAAAGCGAACGTGCCCCGATACCCTACAGTGATACACCCAGGTCGTGATGAGGGCGTTACGGAGGTGAGGGAGTTACTGTTAGATATGGGAGGAACTTTAGTTTGCGACAATGATCCGGCTTTCGGTGTTGTTGCTATCAGTGAACATAGTGATTTCACGAGACCGGGTAACTGGAAATATTCCGCTTCTTGTTTTAATCTTTCCTTCTCGTGAAAATTCTCCGGTAAAACAAGTTTGTTATTCCGCAGATAGTCGAGTATGTAGCGAAATAGCACTCCGTCCCTGTCTAAGAAATATTTCCCTTTAGAATCCTTGATGAGTTTGAGAGCGGCCGTGCCATTGAATGTCTGTCCTAACAGCGAGTCGGATTCCTGCTTGAGAGTTTTTAATGTGGAGGTGTAGAACACCCCGCCAACGTTCAGCTCCACGATATCCGGGAAATCCTCACATTCCGCGTTACCGACGTTTTCCGACATTGTCACCGATTTGGTACTTGTACAGGAAGAGCTCAAACACAAGATTACAAAGCCATGCTCTACAAAGATGTTGATGAAATGAAGTTATTAGTCCTCCTGCTGGTCGCTGTCCTCAGTAAGGTACGGCGTGTGCTCTGTTTGCCAGTTTATCTCGACACTATTCGGCTAGTTGTTTGTGATCAGCCTTATACCCGCACCACTGTCATCTAAGTGAACAGCAGCATAACTCCGAGCTGATCAATACTAGTCGTCCTCTCCTGGTTCCCTCTGTGCTAGCAGGCGTTTCACTGATACTTCAATAAAGGAAATACAACTAAGACAAAACCAAATCTCGCCAATAGAGATTTCCCAGTACGTACTCACGGGTTTAACTTGTGTGTATTTCAGGCTGTGTTACTACACCTTGCCAAGCACTTAACGCAATGGAAGATTCTTGTTGTCTTATGCCAATGCGCGTGATAGTTGCCTAGGAGACACGTTTTAATCACATGTAGCCAATGAGAGGCGAGTTTTCATATCGAATGAAGCGTGTCGATAGTTACAGGTGGGTCTCTATCGTAGTCCCCCAACCATGGGTGGTTGTAAGTAAATAACAACACTAGTATAGAAACACACGCAGTGTACAAGGATGAGATCGATGCGGTGTTCGTCTCGACCGTCTACTGTAGACTGTTGCCCGTACGGTGTTTGCACACTGCCCGTTACTGTGACATACAGTATGGCCACGCCCCTTTGAAACTGCCTCCCGTCAGTACCGGGAGTGATCGATCCTCGTGTCTGTGGATGTCGGTTAGCTTTCGACGCTGGTACAGTGCTAATGTGTCGCTGTTTGATCTATTCTAATCGTCCTCCCTTGCTAAACAGCTTGTGTGATAAATGTTTGTCCCTGCAGGTTCACAGGAACAGCCAATTGTTGGTTGGTTGCAGTTGGAAGGTTCTATGACGCTTTAGGCTAAACAAAAGGTCTTCCTAGTCAACCGTCTCAAAACCAACGGTATGGTCAGTTCAGAATCACGTTCGTTATTGTTTATATATCACACTGGCCACAGGTTGACCAGCACCACGAATCATCTGTTAGGACGTTGAGCGTGTTGTTTGCCGGAAACTGCTAAGGAAATCACTCGTTATATTTAACCCACGGGAAGAATGCGGTGACAATCTGACGTACACATAGTCATTCCTTTTCTGTGTGTGACTTCCTTTCTAATACAGAAACACTTTATTTCCAGATTAGAAAGCTACCATTGATGGAACGTATCACATGCCATTTCACTCGAAAAAATAGCACACAATAATAATCACTTAAATACACTTTTCACACAGAAAAAAACTAAACGACAATCATACACATTAAACGAGAGTACTCCTGCATTACACGACAGTCAATTGCAATAAACATCAACAAACATATACAACACGAAAGTAAACATACACAACACAACAGTACACATACACAACACGACAGTAAACATACACAACACAACAGTACACATACACAACACGATAGTACACATATACAACATGACAGTACACATATACAACACGATAGTACACATATACAACACGACAGTACACATACACAACACAACAGTAAACATACACAACACGACAGTAAACATACACAACACAACAGTACACATACACAACACGACAGTAAACATACACAACACGACAGTACACATACACAACACGATAGTACACATATACAACACGACAGTACACATACACAACACGATAGTAAACATACACAACACGATAGTACACATATACAACACAACAGTACACATACACAACACGACAATACACATACACAACACGACAGTAAACATACACAACAAAACAATACACATACACAACACGACAGTAAACATACACAACACAACAGTACACATACACAACACGACAGTAAACATACACAACATAACAGTACACATACACAACACGACAGTAAACATACACAACACGACAGTAAACATATACAATACGAAAGTAAACATACATAACACGACAGTACACATAAACAACACGACAGTGCACATACACAACACGAAAGTACACATACACAACACGAAAGTACACATACACAACACAAAAGTTCACACAAGCGCTATCTCTACACGACTGTATATTCTTTACATTTTCCTACTAAACTGTTGTACGCTTACGCTTATATCATTAATGTGTAATAACACATGAGTGTTCTGAGCAAATAATTATTATGGGAAGGATACCTAAGACGTACAACTCACGCTTGGGATTTATTTCCTTAGGCATCTAGGAAACATTTCCTTTGGTTGTAAGATTCTTAAGAACGAGAATTTCTTTAGCCTGTAATATTTCGATCCGTAATTACGATAAATCAGTGTGTACGTCTATATTAAGGTTATCGATTGTTGTGCTGTGTTTAAATTAAGAATATAACCATTTCTAATTTGCAACTGATAATCAGATCATTTTTCCACTGCCATATTTGAAAATGTTCTTTCAGCCCTAGATAGTCTGTTGCCTTAGCTTCGAGAATTTTACAACCTCAGATGGAGGTGAGTGAAGTGAGATCTTATCCCCTGGGATGGATTGTGTTACCGGAAGCTGAGTTCACGGATCATCCTTTGTTGTCGTGGATGTGGCATTAAGCAATACACATGCAGGTTATCGTAATTGCTTTGGATAGTATGCAGTTGGCCTGTCGGATGGGTGACCATCTATTTCGAAGAGACACAAAAATATAAAATGCACACTACTAAACATAACATGATCTGATCTGGTCTGGTGTGGTCTCATTGGACAAGTCTTACATTTTGGTCTACTGTGCTCTTATTGGTCAGATTCACATTTTGGTCTACTGTGCTCTCATTGGTCAGATTTACATTTTGGTCTGGCGTTCCATCACTGGTCAAGGCTTACATTTTGGTCTGGTGTGGTCTCATTGGACAGGTCTTACATTTTGGTCTGGTGTGGTCTCATTGGACAAGTCTTACATTTTGGTCTGGTGTGGTCTTGTTGGACAGGTCTTACATTTTGGTCTGGTGTGGTCTCATTGGACAGGTTTTACATTTTGGTCTGGTGTGGTCTCATTGGACAGGTCTTACATTTTGGTCTGGTATGGTCTCATTGATTTTAGTCAAGTAGTATTAGATATGCATATATCTGGAGTGAGAAAGATAATGTTTCACTATACTATGACATTTAACATTGTACCACACCAGTGAAGCCCTTTATAGAATGATAATTAACGCCAGGCACATTCTTTACATTGACCAATTAGAAGCTGCATGTTACACTCTCATTTGTCATGCATGTTTTTTTTCACCGCATTATCAGTAATGGAGCCGGGAAAAGATAATCAATTTGCAAAAATACATACAATCTGTGAAGCTCTCATTTGTCGTGGATGTTTTTTAACTGTGCTATGAGCAAATGACCTTTTTCTATAAAAAAAATAATCTATTTGAAAAAAAAAATACAATCTGTGACTCTCATTAGCCGTGGATATTTTTAACTGTGCTATGAGCAAAAGACCCAAAAAAATAATCAATTTGCAAAAATACATACAATTTGTTACTCTCTCATTTGTCGTGGATGTGTTAAACTGTGCTATGAGCAAAAGGCCTTTAAAAAAACACACACGGAAAAGATAATCGATTTGCAGAAATATATACAATCTGTGAAGGTCTCATTAGCCGTGGATATTTTTAACTGTGCTATGAGGAAAAGACCTTAAAAAAAATAGATAATCAATTTGCAAAAATATATATACAATATGAGAAAATCTCATTTGTCGTTGATGTTTTAACTGTGCTATAAGCAAATTAACTTTTTCCTTTAAAAATAATATATTTGCAAAAAAATATATACAATCTGTGACTCTCTCATTAGTAATGGATGTTTTTAACTGTACTATGAGCAAAAGGCCTTTAAAAAAAGATAACCAAGTTGCAAAAATGTAAACAGTCTGTGATTCTCTTATTTGTTGTGGATGGTTTAAAAGTGCTATGAGCAAAAGACCTTTAAAAAAAATCAATTAAAAAAAAATGTATTCATTATGGTATTCATTATGTGTTATTTGAATTATCATTAGCTCACAGAACGTTAAACCCGACAACAAAACCTTAAACATTCACATAATATTATTTTTTCCAGTAGAACATGACCTCTGACCTCGGTGGCTCCACCATTAGAGTTAACCAGCAGACGGGAATAGATTTACAATTGTGAAACAATATAGAGTGTTCCCAATCGTCCATACCATTGTTCATCACTGACCAGCCGATGTGTGAAAACAACTAGCTGATGTGACAAATCTAAATACAAAATGTTCAAGGAATTTATAAGACACGACAGCACTATAGGAATTACAAATTACATGAAAAAAATTGAAATTAAATTCAATTAAATAGTCGGCCACTTTCCAGGACTGGTGTCGAAGGTGAATATCGTTTTGTATCAACTCTTGGTATTATATTCATGGCTGTATGGACTAACAAAAGAATCGATCATATGATTTCTGTCATTGATTGTTATCAGAACACACCAAAATATGGAACCTGATCGATGAGGCAAGCTTGGACCACATCAAAATATGGGACCAGGTCGATGAGGCAAGCTTGGACCACATCAAAATATGGAACCATGTCGATGAGGCAAGCTTGGACCACACCAAAACATGGGATCAGGTCGCTGAGGCAAGCTTGGACCACATCAAAATATGGAACCGCGTCGATGAGGCAAGCTTGGACCACATCGAAATAAGGGACCAGGTCGATGAGGCAAGCTTGGACCACATCAAAATATGGAACCATGTCGATGAGGCAAGCTTGGACCACACCAAAACCTGGGATCAGGTCGCTGAGGCAAGCTTGGACCACATCAAAATATGGAACCGCGTCGATGAGGCAAGCTTGGACCACATCGAAATAAGGGACCAGGTCGATGAGGCAAGCTTGGACCACATCAAAATATGGGACCATGCCGATGAGACAAGCTTGGACCACATCAAAATATGGAACCAGGTCGATGAGGCAAGCTTGGACCACATCAAAGTATGGGACCAGGTAGGTGAGTCAAGCTTGGACCACATCAAAATATGGGAACAAGTTAATGAGACCAGCTTGGACCACATCAAAACATGGGATCAGGTCGCTGAGGCAAGCTTGGACCACATCAAAATATGGAACCGCGTCGATGAGGCAAGCTTGGACCACATCGAAATAAGGGACCAGGTCGATGAGGCAAGCTTGGACCACATCAAAATATGGGACCATGCCGATGAGACAAGCTTGGACCACATCAAAATATGGAACCAGGTCGATGAGGCAAGCTTGGACCACATCAAAGTATGGGACCAGGTAGGTGAGTCAAGCTTGGACCACATCAAAATATGGGAACAAGTTAATGAGACCAGCTTGGACCACATCAAAACATGGGATCAGGTCGCTGAGGCAAGCTTGGACCACATCAAAATATGGAACCATGCCGATGAGACAAGCTTGGACCACATCAAAATATGGAACCAGGTCGATGAGGCAAGCTTGGACCACATCAAAGTATGGGACCAGGTCAGTGAGATCAGCTCGGATCACACAAACATCTGGGACCAGCTCAGTGAGACCGGCTCAGACCACACCAACATCTGGGACCAGGTCAGTGAGACCGGCTCAGACCACACCAACATCTGGGACCAGGTCAGTGAGACCGGCTCAAATCGCACCACAGTGCTAAGGTAAATAATCATCACGTGTTGTGTTCTCTTTTAAAAGAGGTCAAAGACGAATATAATCAAACATTGGTAGACAATATAAAACGGTTTCATGCCAAATCGGGACCGTTCGACATCTTCCATGTAAGTGAAGATGCATTTCTTATTTACGGAATGTGACAAATGTTCCCGAGCCGTCAACAGGAAGTAGATGTGGTTTTTTTCTTTTGATTGGTTCAAATTGTATTTTTTTTTAAATCTTGTCAACATGGGTTTCAAACCATTAATGTATATGTTTGT